AAACAAAATTTAAAGATAACTGAGGCAAGGCTTCAAAAAATGTATAAATCTCTTAATTGTTGAGCTCACTTCCATTTCGAACAAAAGTGTTTGGTGAAAGGTTCCGTAGGTCAATTCTACCAAAAGACGACGATGTATTCCTATTCACCAGCTATCGATTGGCTTTACTGTAGGATTCTTATCGACGTTCAAGTAAAGCTAATCGACAGCTTGCCATAAGGAACCCTCAGTCGTCTTCTGGTGGATCGACCTTCGAATCTATTCACCAAATACTTTCACTCGAAATAAAAGTGAGCTCAAAAAATATAAATCAAGAAATTCCTCGTAACCCGACTTTGCTTCGCATAAATCTCTTTAATTTAGGTCCTATAGGGCTAAATTCCCATGGAAGAAAGGTTTACGAGAAGAAAGCAGTTCATGACAACGGATCGAACCAGTTGGTTGATGATGAAAAGTGATTATTGTAAGAAGGATACATAAACCATAGTGAATGGAAGTTTTTAAAAATCTTTCTAAGTTCGATAGATAATCTCTGAATGTCATGACATTTAAAGGGCAGCAGTAATGTAACTCGTGAGAAGAAATGACAATGACTCCTAGATCAATGCACAAATTTATGCAGGTTGCAAATAAAGCTAATCTTGTAGTTTACCGGCAAAATTTAAGTAGGTGATAACCAAAACGAATCATGAAGTCTAACGGAATGGAAAAACTGGAAGATTTCCTGGAGTTGACAAGTCATATTAATGAAAGAATTAAATTAGTTATAGAAGTAGATAAAGAGAAGCAGTTATCAATCCTGGATGTTAAAGGGACTCGCTCAAGTAGGACACTCAAGAGAAAATTGTACAAAAAGAAGTCATATGCTAGAATAATACTCAACTTCCAGTACAATCATAACTACGTGCTGAAAATAGAAATAATGAGCATGATCATCAGAAGTCTACTATAAACGGGCGTGGAATTCTGGGATGCAGAATTGAACAAAATGATTAGGATATTCCTCGGTAACGGCTATCCAAATGAAGTAATACAAAGAAACATAAGAGTCGTGTAAAGCCAAAGGAAGGAGGGGAAGTATAAAAGAAAAGTAAGAATGGAGAAATACAAAGAAAAGTGGAAATACCTACATTAATGCAAACTAACTCAAAAGCTACGGTCAAAAGTAAGAAAATTGAATATTCTGGTGACGACAAATGAAAAAAACGACACATTTCACAAGTTTACCCACGCAAAATGAGGTTAGAGAAAATGGATTTCTCGAGAGTTTACTGCATAGCATAGGGTGTCTGCAAATAGAATTATATAAGTAAAACAAGGAAAATATCAAGGACCAAGATGTTGTGGCCTCTGTTATGGTCACAGTTTTGTTGTCAGGGCGACTATGTAGAAGACGTCTGCCATAGTAGTTGTCATGATTACCAGCATCTGACAGTGGACATGATACATGCAAGCATGGGAATCAGAGCTTAAGCACTCCGATCAGTGAAGCAGCAATGTGTGTGCTTCTAGGGCCTTGAGAAATAGCGCTTGAAGTTAAATGCACACAGGGACTGGAACTGAGTGAAATCGGTCAACCAGAAAGATAAGGAGCGGATCTATGAGACAATGAAAGGATCCGGAGTGGAGGCCTGGATCGGATAAGCCCATCGAAAATGAGGGGTCGGGGTAAATAGCAAGTGTGATGAGGCCAGACTTGGTTTGCCACAAAAGGGCACACATTTTGACGATTGGAATGTAAACAAGTGAGAAGTTGTGATAGGGCGGCAGTGGGATAAGAGTGTAAAGAGTAGATGGATAGACAATGACAGAAAGAGGAGTGATAGTGTAACCGTTTTCGGCAGAAAGGTTGTCAAGGCATTAACTTCGCTTGTCTCTTTGACGAGTTCGTAGCTTGGTGCAAAGAATGGCAAAGCTCACTGATGGTGCCGACTATGATGCCAGCGAAACGTTTAAAAATGTATCAAGTCCACTTTCAGATGCTGGGAATCATGACAACTACTATAGCAGACGACTTCAAACTAAGTGTGTTCTACATAGTCGCCCTGACAACAAGACCAAGTTGCGATAACATGTCAACCCATTTTTATAAAGGTAAAAATTAGCCCACAACTCAATAAATAGTAAAGGTTCTGCAGGAGAATGGATACCGAAGGAACAGAATTAGCGAAACACATCGCCCAGACTGGACACGAGCTCACTTAGAAGGCAACCGAAAAAATAACCTCATACGATGAAAACACCGCAAAATGAAGATTAGGCGGACAATTGACATCCTTGAGGAAATAAATTTAGTGATCATTAGATTGTACGAAGGCAAATTCGGCAATAACTTTTCTTATTACTTAAGCAAATTCAGATAAAACAAGGGTACGAGAAGGTCAGCAAAAAGGAGATACTTGGATCAAGGACCTATTGTTAATCCGAAGAAAAGGAATCGCAATAAAGAAGAGGATAAGGAACTTCCCCAAATCAAGAAAAGTAGCTTTCATTGAGTGTACTGTGCTCGAAGAAACAACTACAAATTTGGAGGCCTGGGGGTCACAGGACTAGGGAGACAGATAGTCACAACCGTCACGTAAATTCGGCATAATAGTCAAGTTGACTAGAAATCCACTCGAGAAGGAGCAGGTGATCAGAGATAAACGTCAACAGTTTGCAAGGGTATAATGGTTGACTCGAGGAGATGATGCGTGAAGACAATGTTTGATATTTGCAAGCATGGGAATCAGAGCCTGGACGATCTGCAAGTGAGGTGATATTGTACGTGCTAGTGAGAGCTTGAAAAGTAGCGCCTGGAGTAAAACGTAAGCTGAAATTGGGACCGAATGAAATCGGTCAACCAGAGACAAGAAATAGATCCACGGGACCATGAGGGAGATTCGGATAGACAGCCCCAGTCGGATCAGATAAACGAAAGAGAGGGGAAGGTGAACAGCAAGTGTGATGACGCCACACTAAACTCGCCAAAAAGGGGCCCATCACTTGAGGAGTAGAAAATAAACAAATCAGAAGTTTTGATAGAGCGGAAGTAGATAGAGAGGCCTGGACAGAAAGAAGAATGATAGCATAACCGTCAGGCAGAAAGTTGATCAAGGTATCGACTTCACTTGTCCCTTTGACAAGAAGTACCTGAGAATGGCAAGACCCGCTGACGATGTCGACGAAAAATGTGGTAATGTACTAAGTCCACGGTCCGACGCTGGGAATTACGATACCCACTATAGCAGAAGGCTTTGTATAAGGGGCGTCCAAATAAGTCGCCCTGACAACACGACCAAGGTGTGTGTAAGCCCAATTGTATTCATCGAAAGGAGAATACGACCATATCAAACGCCTTCGTATCTTACTCATATGGTTGTGGGAAATTCGATAAGTAGTTTATCATCACCTTATTCGTCCTAATTTGGTCTATTGATAGCGTCGAAACTACTATGTAGGAATAGTTACGTATTGATGACCTGAGTCTGCTTAAAAATAGTTATGCAGTGAGAGATAAAATTTTAACAAATATTACACATCAAAATGGGCAAAATCAGTTGATGTAATTTCTTGACAAGTAAAAACAACTACTAGTCCATATAAAGAGCTTTCATACCAGAAAAGATCTTTTGAAAGTTGATCAATGCTTGTTGGCTGCCATGAATACGAGTCAGCTCTGACAGGTCAATGCGGCAGTATGGCCGAAACAAGTAAGTTGCATCCACCTGGCGAAATAAAGTGTTAAATAGAATAGCAGGGAGAAGATAGCAAGAAAAATAATAAGGATATTATTTAATAATTGTGCAAAAATAATAAAATAGAGATTGTATATCCTCGTTTTCGCAACTTGGTCATATTGGTAGGAAGACTTAGAGATAGG